GCATAATGAGGCCCTGACCTAACTCGCATAAGAATACTAAATAATAAATTACACAAATCCCATGGTTTATTTTAAAAGTACCATATTTGGTATGTTAATGGTTGAATTGAACTTTCATGATTCTAGCAGGAGTTTGTGCTCTTGTCATGAAGAATTGAATTTGTGAGATTACGTCTAGAAAATTATAAAGATCCTAATTTGCATACTTATAATTTACACTTTTAGTGTAATATTAAAATACTGTTTAAATGAGTTGACAGAAATTTGTCAAAAAAAATTTTACGTATCTGTGACAATCACAATAATGTAAGATCCCAGAATAAGTGTTCTCATCTCATGTACCGTGCTGATGATTGTAAAACGTTTGCAATCCAGCCAATCAGAAACAAAGGAGGGTAGAACTTAAGCACGGGTCCTGAATCCTTGTTCTCATTGTTCACCATCAACTTAAATACCTTTTGTTTTTTTTTTTTTTCAGAGATTATAATTGAAATGTTAAAATTGCACTTTATTTGATTTCAAGAGTATGTTGTATTGTATTTCAATGGTATATTATTGAATTTTATATTTGTATTTTTATACAGACTGTCTTTAAAGTGCCAAACCCAAAATATGTTGACTTTCGGTCACAGACTTTTAAGCCACACAATGTACAACAATACTCCATTTTGGCACATTTATAAATTCTAGATATGCATTATTTCAATAAAAGCTCAAAAGTGCAATAGTTCAAACACTCTAGGATATTTAAGCTCTTTCAACCATTATTGTCATGGTACAGTACTTTGTTGTTTTAGCATGAGTGCATGACTGGTCAAAAGAGGGCATTCGTGTGCATTCGTGTGCTCTTTGACCTAAACGTGAATAGGACTTTATGTAGAAACTAAATTAGTGTACCTTGATAAAATATACCTTGATAAAATGTGTTTATATATCATTTATATTTATAAATTATTGTGATAGAAAGTTAGTAAGCCTTTTTTACTTTGTGTCCAAGTTTCTGATTGGTAAATAAATAGTGTTGTTTATACAAGGTTCCGCAAGTAACTTAGACATTGACGTCCTCCGCTTGCTTGTGAACTCTCTCTCTGCTTGGCGTCTTGGACTTTGGTGGTTACCAGTGGTGGAACCCTACTGGAAAATTGAGCTTGTCCCACCCATTTTATTTTTGTCTTTAGTTTGTAGGGACTTGAGACCTGCATTTATCCCATGGTTTAGTTTTGGTGGACCTGGTGAGCTTATGTTTTGGTCTAAATTTTGTTTTTTAGAGCAGTGTATTTGGACATTTTTTGGTAACATTTTAGAATACTCTTCCTTAGTTCAGAATCAGAATGAATTAGAATGAGCTTTATTGCCAAGTAGATTTGCACATACAATGAATTTGCTTTCGTGACAGACTGAGGTAGCCATCTGCGGCGCCAACTTGTAAAGAGAGAAACAGAGAATGTATATACATTAAGGAAGGTAGCTCAAAAAGAGGGCACTGGCTTTCAGAGGGCAGTGTGGAGCAGGTTAAAAAAGCCATTGCATCAAGCACATGTAGACAATACATGGGAGGCGCTGCAGTCAAAAGCATATATACATAACTCCAAAGTAACTACCATTAACGATTCGGCAACTACTGTTATCTCTAAAATTCCTTGTTGTCACTGTAGTACTCTTCCAAGTACTAAGTAGTTCCCTAATATCGAAGTGATAACTATTCAGTAGTTCCATGAGAACATATGGTTACCTGAGAACCAGATAATTATTCTTTCGAGTGCGGGTTTCCTTACATTCACCTTTGCTACACTTTGGATCACAAATCAATCGCGTTACCATATGTTCTCACCAGTCAAGAAAGTTCTGGGAGGTGATAATCCAGAACCACTTTGATAACAGACATTGACTAAAGAATTCTAGAACGACCAAAACAACATTTCAGATTCTGAGCAATGGTTTTTCAACTGTTGTCGCCCCATTGCACCCCAGTTCAGACAGAAAAACACATTTCATTGTGATTTATTCTGTGAATTCGTTTGCATCAAAATTTATGCACATTTTCTCTTATCGGATAAAATTTTATCCTACTCAGTTGTGTACGTTATTTTTTTTTATATGCATTTGAAAAATGTGTGTGCATGAAAAACACAGATTTAAAGATTTTTCATCTGTTTGTTGCTCCGCCACCAGAATTTTTCTCAAAAAAAAGGCCCATTTACACAAATACGGTTATTTTGAAATTGCACATTTGTCTGGTAAACTGTGTAAATCATAGTCATCCATGTATAAAAAACCTCATACCAACACTGAAATTGAACATCAAACTCTAAAATCAAGATATATTTAGAAATGCCAACCTGTCTGCCTAACATGCCATTGTGGTTAGAACGATAAGACTACCTGATGGGTTTGCATGCTTTTCAGTGAGATGGCATGGCTTTTTTTTTTTTTTTTTTAATCGCTAAAATATGAAATGCCCTCTAAATCAGATAAATCATGTTTGTAGGTCATGTTCATAAGATAAATCTCTCATTATCATCAACTGTCATCAGTTCCCAGTCTCTTCTTATAATTAGTGATCTGTTGCCACTTGTCATATGAGTAGCCATGGCCTCAAAAGTCTGTGTGCTGTCTTTGGAACTGATCATTTCTAAGCAGATTGCTTTGGTTCTTATAATTATTTTCTTATTGTGTATAAATATTTTAAATATATTATAACCGTTTAAATCCTTAATGCTTACGTGTAACTCTTGTGTTCTAGTAATTCTCCTGACAGACAGTTTTCGCGTACAGAACGACATGACGTTTGTTATGACCTTACTTTGAACATTTAAACTGCTAACTCTATGTGTCTATGTTTTTCTCATCTATTCATCTGTCAATGTCTGGGACCAGCCCATATTAGTGTTGTATTTAAGATTAGTTGCCATGGTAACCAAGTCTGTAATGTTCAAACTAAGCCTTTGTATCAGAAAATAAATATTATGTGAATTTTTGCCTCGTTAGATCCCAAGTAGATCAATTAAATGTAAGTCAACCAACCTTTTCACTGAAAAGCCACTAATACCCACTGCACTTCTCTACCTAAAACTATGTTCAAATAAAGTGGGACACATGAAATGTCTGGTTGTTTATCCAGGCATACCACGTTCTCCCCCAATTTCAATGATCTGAGAATCTGAGATGTCACCTCCTCATTCTTCCGACACATGAACTCTAGTACAATCCCCCAAATCCTCATCTTAGCACTCACATTCACCACACCAGCACGCTAGAAGCAAATTCATCATCCTCTTTGATTTTCTTCTATCTCGGCTGAATCCTGTCCACAGCAGGAGACTTCATGACCTCCTTCTTTGCCAAATTCCACATGAAAGAGTGATGAGGGATGAAAGAAAAAAGTGGGTTTGCCTTGCTGGACAGTTTCAGTGCACGGTCTGTTTTCATCGAGCATAAGAGACAGTCGGCAGGGGATGCTCTCCACGCTCCAAACCCTTATTCATTTCATTGCCTTAAAGGAACACAGACTCAGAGTGTTGCCAGATCCTCAATAACACACACAGCACCCACCTTCAAAAGGGCTGGCAGAGGGACAGAGCTGCCATTTGGAGATTATTGCTCTGTTCTCAGTCTTGCCTCACTGATAACACACTGCAAAGGAGACCAGAGCTCTTGTGAGGATACAAGTAAAGCACACTCACGATCTGTGCCAATGTTTAGTTAATTATACAGTTGACAGTTTTAGTATTTCACTACACTTTAATATTATTTTATCCTAAAACATAGAGTAACTAAAGGTCAACAGATCAACATTTAAACCAATGGTTGGGCTTAAGTTTACGTTTGGTTTACTCAGCTAACAAACATACTTTAAAATGAGTAGCCTACAAACATTAACCCTTGGCCTTAAGTCTGGGCCTTTTTGAGTGTTTTTTACTAATTTACAATTTGCTATAATAAATAATAATAATAACAACTTATCTTTAACACTGTATTTATGACAATGCTTGCTATCATTCTTTTTAGTACAACTTAAAAAAATAAAATTATATTACACAATAACTCCTCAACAAACCTGAAGTTTTTTTTCATGTTTTATAACAAAATCTAAAGTGTTAAAACAAAATAAAAATTCATAAATTCCCCTAAAAAGCAAATAAGGTAAAAAATTGTATTAAAAAGCAGCTGACCCTTTCCTAAACCTTGCACTTTTCGTTCCACTGTGCATTGTGTGTTCCATATCACAGGTGTTATACTTCCCTTCTTTTCTGCAAAATGAAATGTGCTTTTTCTCACATTTTAGTTTGAGTTTTGAAACCTACACATTATATTTGAAATCTAAATTTAACAATAGGTGAACAACGTCATTTCTACTTAATTCAAAGCAGCTGGTATGATTGGCACACGCAGTGCGTGCAGAGACTTCTAAAGGTTAAACAATATTTAGTTTTTAAAGATTTTAATGAAAAGTGACATCTTTCATCACAGTACCAACAACGACGGAGGCACAGAATGTACTGATTACATGGAAGGGCATTTGGAGTGCGTTTGCACCTTTAAATCAGTTTATTTCTGGAGCAAGGGGAATAACTGATGACTCTTTTCACACCAGACAGATTGCTCAATAAACCTAAATCATATGTGTCAGGGTTCAGAGGGTGGACAGTGACGATAAAAATGCAGAGCAACAAAAATAGAGAAAAGGTCTTTCAATGGATTTAACAGAAAACACAAACACCGACAGAAGGGAATACCATGATAACTAAAAATAAAATGCCTTAAAGAAACTGAAACAAACAGTAAGACAGCAATAGAATTAAGACCTATTCTTGCATGTGACAAAGACCTACTGAGCAACATGCGGTTACTGAACACATCAGCAACCATACACCTCAGAAGAAAACAGAGATAGTGATATGAGCAGATGGCAGAAATGATCACAAGAATCACTAAATATTTTACCAGTAATGTGAGCACAAGAGGAAAATGCTCAAACACAGAATGAAACTGAAAAAAGGGCAGGCGTGGCCTAGTGGCCAAGGAGTTTGACTTGAGATCAGAAGGTTGATGGTTAGATCCCCAGCTCCACTGGGAGTCGAAAGTGAGATGATCATTGAAAGCTCTCTCCTACCGGTGACAAACACGACTGTGGTGCTCTTGCGCAAGGCACTAGTATCCCCCACTGCTTCCTGGATGCCGCAGCTATGTCTGCCCACTGCTATGGGTGTGCCCTTAGATGGGTAAAACGCAGAGCACAAATTCCACATATGCGTCACTGCATACCTAATGTCACTTTTACTTTTAACTTCCCTTTCAAAGTAAAACAGTGCTTTCCAGTGCTGGAGTAAAACCAAGACAGGCAAACATTGAAGCTGTAGGTCTCCGGTGTCAACAGAAGAAAGAGAAAATAGACATTCAGCATGACCTAGCTACTAGAAAGCAAGCAGAAGAATGACTCCCACCTCCAGTGTTGACACCACTACAAAATACAGAATAAGAATCAGATTAAACAAGACATAGTTGAGCTCAATTGTGCACAGATGGGTCTATGTTTGTACTTGTCTGATCAGTAGTTCGGTGATTTGGTTTGTGCTGGTCTTTATGTGCTCATGGTGGAGACACTTGCGTATGTATGATACCACTACTGACCATTGACATTATGGCAGGGGTGAGCAACGTCATTCCTGGAGGGCCGGTGTCCCTCCTGGTTTTTGTTCCAGCTCTGCTCCAGTACAAACACTGGCAGCTTTAAACAAACCAAGAAGAGCACAATAGTAGAGCATAAGTAGAATCAGCTGTTTTTCATGAAGGTTGCAACTAAACTGTCCAGGGCTGTGGCCCTCCTTGCTCACTTCTAAAATAAGCTCTCTTTGGCTTGTCTGTAATTGCGTACAGCGTACAGCTCTATTTTTGTCTGAATACATTGCGGTCTTTGAGCAATCAGCGGAGAGGGCTGCAAAATGGTTAATAATGGTTAATAACGTTACTCTAAAATGCTCTTTATGAACAAAATCAGAAGCCTATGACCTAAGAGGTAGATTGATCACTAACCACCCATGTTTACAGAATAGGACCACTTTCTTTTCCATTTTAGACAAAATATAGTATCAGTAATTTATTTCCAAGATCTAAGTGCAGTCTGACCCTAATGTCTATGTCACTGAATCATCTTTTATTGATGTAGTACTGTTACTAAAGATGGAAATGTACCCAGGATCTAAATGGTTATGAATCAGAGCACTCAATATAAAATGATCCGGTCCACAAGTTATATTAAAATTACCAAAGCTAATTATAATAATCATATTCTAAGTCCAACTGCACTTAATTAAACATGCTCAACGATCGATTTGCCTTAAGAGCTGTGTTACTGAACCCTCTACTCTTTAATAATGTGTATACCAGAAAAACTTAAAACGTGCACAACCCGTGTCCATGTCTCTGGACACTCTCATTTGAAATGTGTTCAGATATATATATATATAT